GGACTACTGAGACCCTGGAGGACTACTGAGACCCTGGAGGACTACTGAGACCCTGGAGGACTACTGAGACCCTGGAGGACTACTGAGACCCTGAAGGACTACTGAGACCCTGGAGGACTACTGAGACCCTGGAGGACTACTGAGACCCTGGAGGACTACTGAGACCCTGAAGGACTACTGGGACTCTGAAGGACTACTGAGACCCAGGACATCCTCAGGGGTTCTGAGGGGGTGGTCCTCACAGACTGAGACCACTGACTCAGATCTGTTTCTGTTGCTCTTTATATAAACACGCCCACAACTAACTGACCAATCAGAGCCCTGGACTCAGCAGAGGAGGAAGTGATTTGATTTCACTTCCTGTTTATTTACCAATGGTGGGGATGGTGGTGACGATCTCTCCCAGCTTCAGTTTGTAAAGGATCGTTGTTTTCCCAGCAGCGTCCAAACCCACTGAAACAACAACACAACTCATCAGACTCACAACAACAACACAACTCATCAGACTCATCACAACACAACTCATCAGACTCACAACAACAACAACTCATCAGACTCACAACAACAACACAACTCATCAGACTCATCACAACACAACTCATCAGACTCACAACAACAACACAACTCATCAGACTCACAACAACAACACAACTCATCAGACTCACAACAACAACACAACTCATCAGACAGGTTCCAGGGTTCTGATTTTAACTTTATAAAGTTAAAAGTTTCACATTGTTTTTATAAAATAAAAGTGTTTAATTTAATCTCTGCTGTTAAAGTTATTATTTTCTGATTAAATACTGATAAAACATTTGATCTGAATAAAGTCAAACAGAAAGTTTCATCAGATCAGTTTTCCTGTGTCTGAACTCTAAACTTTATATTTATACATGTGATAGTTTGTTAAAGCTTTTATAAAACCTTTAAAATAAACAAATTAAAGAATAAGAGCAGCACTGCCCCCTGCTGGACACTTCAACAGGTTTTATGTTTTTAAATTTCATCTTTTAACTCAGATTTACTGTTTGATCCGTTCAATAAGAGCAGCAGCACAATACTGATTATAAAGCACAAAAACACAAACTAATTATTTCTTTTATTGAGTAAATAAAGTATAATTTTATTTATCTTGATCACTTTAAGTGAAACTAGTAAAAACATCTGGTGTTAGATAAATAAAGCAGTTTACTGATTTACTAAAATTAGAAAATAATCAGTCACTAAAGAGGCTGAAACTGTTTTATGTTTCTAATCTACAGAAAATTTAAACTGTTTTATTATAAATCTGGGATTATTTAATGAATTAAAACCAGTTTGAGC